GGAGGCAGCCGGTCCGGCGGCGATCGTCGTTGTGCCGTCCATCGTCATCGTTATACTCACGCTGACTTCTCTGGTTCTCGATATAAAGGACAATACGCGACTTTTTATGATATGCTTCAGTCTTTTCGGTCATTTTATGTTTCTGACTGAAATAGGGTACGACATCCCGAAGCACAGCGCTGATACACCAATCATTCTGCTGTTTGTACGGGACTCGATGATCGTGACGCTGGCGGGCTTGGTAGTGACGCTAGTGCTGATGTCCGTGCGTAGGCGCGGCGTGCCCCCGCCGGCTTGGCTCGCTGCCGCAAACCGCCTGGTCACCAGCGGGCCGGGCAAGTATGTCGTATTCACAGAATTCGATCCTTGTGACACAGCCGAGGTTAAAACTCTCTCGGATGAAGGAAATAACTCCAATTTAAACGAAGAAAAATCTCGCACTGCTACTGAATGGATTATGTTCGCGAATCTACTCAACAGCGTTGTCTTCATCGTGGTGTTGATCGTTTACCTCGTATTAATAATTTCGTACATACCTCGTGACGATTGAAATCAACTAATTTATTAAAATACCATACTCATAAAAATATTTGCTTGTAATAAAGTAAAAGTAAAATTTGGGAGAAGGTAACACCTGGGCAAGACAGCTAGATGTAATTATTTTAATGTGCACGACCAAGCGAAAAATAATTTAACATACCTTTTTTTTCTCTTTAAACAACAAATGCATTGAAAAATATTTGTCGGAACCTAACCTTTAGTTTAATCCATTAACTTTCATCAATTTTTGTTATGCTTTATTCACGAATAAATTTGTAACACCATTATAGAGTTCTTTACTTACTTCAGCGTCCCATTCATTCAGTTCCGTATATCTCATGATGTCGTTGATGCGTATCATACGCATGGTGCGCTGGGGGGCGGCGGCGCTGTCGAGGAAGGCGTGGGTGCCATTAAGCACGGTGGGGGCGGAGCGCCAACGCGCGCGCACGTACATCGTCGACAACAGCACCGCGCACATGCCCTCAGACAGTTCCTCCTCTTCGAATGTATCACGCATCGCTCCTTTTGAATCTTTTTCAACCTATTTAATAATACATTCTTAGCCTTTTCAAACAGAAAAAAGTAATAACAGCAGTATTCTGCAGAGTACACGCTAAAGAAACGCAGCTGCATATTATTTTAAGTCTAGTCGTAGTTTATTTTTTTAGTACATCAAGAAAATAAGTAGGTATATAAAATACACATAAATATGTGCACTCTACCATTTTATTAAGCGTATCCGTTAATGCTTGTGCAGTATCTGAGGTGTTGACGCGGTCGATGCGCAGGCGCATGGCGGGAGCGAGGCCGTGTTGGAGTTGCGGTTTTAGCGCCCAGCGGCGACCCACCACCAACCTTGATGATAATCGGAACTTAAGAGCATCACTCGTCTTCGGTAGCGATGATATCATTTCCCTTAGGATGTATATTTTTTCCTGTTAAGTAACACTGACATTTAAAAAAAATTGTTTTATCAGCTTGTATTTAAAGTGTCATGTAAGTCTGTACCCTGTCGGAGAGTTCAAGACCTATGCACTTGTCAATCTCACGTCGCGTTTCGACGTCGACCTCCGAGGAGAGAGCCATTAGTGTCAGTTGTAAAAATATTCCCGTTTGAATAAAACTTATTCCATTTTCCTTCCTTTCAATGGGACTTGAAGATGTTAATTTCTCGAATGTGACCTGCAATTAACAAATACATAACTAAAACAATACGTTGAAACCATGTTTTTCCACTCTTGTGATGAATACTGGATCTTGGTGTTCTGAAATTTTCACTCATATTTGACCATATTATTACGTAATGTTTACGTGTTTGATTATTTCTACATAAATGTTTAATATTACACATGCTTATATTCCGTAGCGAATCGTAAAACAAATTATTCGATAACAATCTTTTAAATTTTTGATATCTACCTACTTATAGCTTCACATTAGTTTATCGCTGTGTTTCTAATTTCTGTAAATTAAACTACAAATCGTAATAATTTTAAAGCGGTTTTATCGATACTGCTTTGTTTATTTTGAAATTCTTATCCACAGATAATATAAGTAGTAATAAGTAATGATAGATCATTGGAAATTTTAATTATCAGTTAGTTTTTAACTTTTTAAAGGACTTCTTTGAATAAAAGTGACTTATGGTCGTAAAAGACGGAAACCTTATAAGAACGAGCAGATCAATATAAATACGTAATTCCTTTAGGTATTTTTGATTGATAGTTCTTATATCTGCAACGACAGTTAAGTTGTCGTTTTAAACCCACGATTTTTCGTAGATGTAATTAGAATATGGTCCATCATAATATTTAATTTGATTACGTAAAACTCAGATTAACTTACCTTATAAAACTTTCTTTCTAGTATATCAAGTGATCGTATAAATTTAGCCATTACTTCAAAATTACTATACATATTAGCATTCCATTGTTCGTAACTGGTGTTAGGTCTAAAGTTTAGTGATTTTCTGGTTGTTTCAATATTACTGTAGGATAATGATTCTGTTGTCAGGGAATTCGTTGTTGGAGACGGTGTACTGGTATTTTTTATTAGTTCTACAGAATGATGAGGTCTGTAAACCGGATTATGAAGTGATTGCAGCAGGTTATTCTGAGCTGATTTTGGAGGTACATTTCCTAGTGCACCAAACACTGGCCGATTGACTACAAATTTCGGTGTGCTATAATCGTTTTGCATATTCGGCTTAGGAATATTTTGATTTAATTTTCCATGTAAATTAAATTGTGTTTGAATCCCAGCTTGAGTCCCGGAAAACGCAGGTGTGACGTAGTTACGTCTCATAAGACCGATCTGTCGTTTATATACATCAAAATGATAAGTACTTGGATATACAGGTGGAAAATAATTAAAAAAACAATTAGGGTCGTAAATATAACAAATTATAGGAGTGGTTGGAACATATGCGATCGGGGATGAATATTTTGGCATCGCGACTGTGAAATTTGCACTCAAACGATGGGATAGAACACTTGAACACAGAAGTAGGAGGAGTAGGAGCGACGTAAAACTGACGAAAGTCATGCCTGATTTGCTAATCAATTTAATATGATTCCATTAGGTTCGGTCACAGATTTTCAGATCGAAGTTGAATTATATATATTTTTAATCACATTTTTAAAGTGAACTTATATAAACTGATCACAGACTACGGCACCAAACTGTTCGCGAGTCGGAGCAGCACTGCATCGCAAGCAGCTGTAGAAAATGCGTTCTGTTCCGCATATTCATAAGAGCGGCTACTTAGAGCTAAATTAATGAGAGCTAATTAATATGCTTCATAATCGCGATAACGACCGTCACTTAAACCAGGCTTATTGGGATTCTGTAAGTGTTTGATTCGATTTGGGTGAGCTATTATGATATAGAATTTAATTTACTTTATAGATTAAAAAATGTTAAAAATCAATCTACATAATAGTGAAGACTAAAAATAACTATCAACTAATCATTACGATATATGATTTTTTACATCGAAACTAATAATACGAAATAGACAAAATTATAACCACTTCATTAAATTGGTACTAATAATACTTACATCTATGTAGTTAAGGAAATTCAATTTAATGTTCATTTCTATCTCCTTTGTATGTACCAGCAATTATTATTATAGCTTTTGACACGATAATTAAAACTATGAATGGGCAATTTGCTAAGAATTCTGTCCCAACAGCTGCACTCGTCCTTAACACGAGGACTCCTGAGGAAATCATGTCTAATTAGTATTACCCAAAGTTACCATATAATTTAATATTAGTTCCAACATTATAAAACAAATAAATAAAATAAAACATTATTGACCAAAAAAAAATTAAAAGAACACAACTTAAAAATCATATTACTGAAAAAAAAATTAAGACAAAAAATTCTTGGCCAAAAGAAGGCTCAGCTGATGCGGCCTCCAGCTTGTCACAGTTTCAGTTACTATGAACTACTTGATTTTAAACGAAAACTTTATTCTAAACTAGCCTTCACCCATAACTTCGTCTGCACTTTTTGTGATATACATAATAACATCCATCCATCCAAAAGTTCGCACTAAACTTAAATAAAACCTTTTAATTAACTGGATTTAAAATAATGCCTTATTTTAAGGAATAGAAAAGTAAACGCATCTTTATAAATTAAATATTTATTGAATAATAAAACACAAATAAATACAATAATCTTACAAATGCAAAAGCTAAGCTCAAATTGTATATAACTTACTACAAGTACACTTTATGGTATTTTAACAGTAAATAAATCTCGCCTTTTAGGTAAATATTGTTAACACAAATACGTTATTTTACGAATTTAACGACCATTTTATAGAATATTTCAATATATTAACATGTGGTTGTAGTATATGTTACTCTTACTTATAATTCTGGAAAGTATCAATATATATAAAAAAATTGCATTGTAAAATTTGTAAACATCGTTTGTACATATAATGTTTTATGGAAAATCGATAAAACTTCACTATTCAAGTTAACATTAATAAAGCTCTAAACAGCACATTTTAATAAAATAAGTATTTTTCAAAAACAGACGTTTTTTTTTAATTTAAAATCACTTTGTGCTTACAAAACTTAGTGAATTACGCAAAGCTGTACATTAATAAAATTTAAATAATTACGTTTGTCATGTCGCATACATTTTGTCATTAATACTTTGGTTAAAAATTTATTATGAAATACTAAATTCTTTGAACAGGTTTTAGAAATCCCCGCGTTGTGTTGCCATAAAGTATGGCGTGTCATCTACAAGTATGACAGTAAGGAAGGGTCTGTCGGCGTCGAAGCGCGGCACGGGGGGCTCCCCGATCACAGCCGAGCAAAGCATGATGCCCATTGCTGTAATACAAGCACTTTGGGTCAGTACATGAAGAGACAAACAAAACGACAAACTAACGAATTTATTACAACTAGCTGTTCCCGTGCGGTTTCATCCGCATACAATTATAAAAACATTATTTCATTGTTTACATTTGTCAAATTCAATAAATGTCAAAATTACCATAATAACTTTGCTTCCTCAATGACCTCTTTCCCACATGAGGGTTTTTTTTTCCAATTTATTTACCTCCTAAGTTTATAAGCGTGAAAATATATAGCCTAAAGCGTGTCGTAAATGAAGGGCTTTTTATTAAAGAAAGTATTATTCAAAAATATGCTGTGATTGCTGACATCCTACGCCACGAAGTAGTGTGTTTCCTTCAATATTGATTTAACCAATACAAGATAGTTTTTACGCTAATTTGAATCATATGATCAAATTCATAAAATTGTGTGTGTGTTATTTAAATTATGAAATGATATAAAGCGCAAGCAAACGTGGAACTTTGATAAAATCGCATGATGAATTAGCACAGACACGACACGACAAACGTAACGAGATAAGTTTATTGCAAGCAGATAACAAACTGTGATTCGGTTGTACAATACATAGGTGAAGGTGTTTAATCATTTCGGGGCGCGGTATGTTCCTACGAAGAGGAGGTGATTCTGCGAGTCGAGCAACGCGTAGAGGAAGGGCCGGTCTGCGCGGAAGCGGGGGGCGGGCGGCCGCGCGCACCGCATCATCACCACCATGCCTGCGCCAGAAAAACCCATGCAAGCAGTAGTACACATTTAAAACCCCTCGACATATAAACAAACAACTAAACCATTTACTATCAAAACTCACAATGGAAAAATACCAGAGATTCAAATATATAGAAGAGGCATAATTGACACTTCACTTGAAACATTTTTCACATAACCATCACTAACGCTATCTATTAGATATCTATTAGATAGCGTTAGTGATGGTTATGTATAGATGCTCCAAACTCCATGTCGATATAATGAAATTTATTAAAATTATTAATGTGTCAATAGGTGTCGATAAATAATATTCAAATGTTTAAATTTTATTTTTTAACATGTTTTATTACATGTCAATGCAAGGACACAAGGTGGCGTACAAACTTAACAACTGCTTTGATTTTCAAAGAATGTACCGGTAAAAAAATAATGTTCACTATGCCTCGTCTATACATAATTTAAATGTCTTTGCAAATTACATAAAATCCATACAAAACATACATAAAAACACTTGTCTCATCCCAATAGCAAAAAACTAAACCGACAGTGTTCTAGGTAACTACTGCTTGCGTTAGTTTTTCTACAATTCGGTACGCAATGCGGGTACGCGCGGTCGGTACGCCGCCACGAAGACGATTCGGTCCGCCGCCAGCACGAGCCAGAGCGCGCGCCGCGTGGCGCGGAACTCGCGCGCAGCCGCCAGCGACCGCTTCTTGCGCACTCTCAGCGCTACGTACACACATATACATCTACCATACATTACCACACACAACACAGCCCCAACACCAAATAAAGCATTTATATCTATACTAACTTTAGCCCGTGACTTCGTCCGCGTGGAATTAAAAAACAAAAGTGAATAGCCTGTGTTCTCCAAGACTATCCTCTACATCTATGCCAAGTTGCGTCGAAAACCGTTCTGCCGCTTAGTCTACAAACTCTAACAAACATCCATCCATCCATCTAATCTTTCGCATTTATAATATTAGTAAGATAAGTAAGATTATTGTAAAGACGAAAGATTTGTATTTTTGTATGTATTTAAATAACTCAAAAATTACTGGACTGATTTCAAATATTCTTTCACCGTTAGGAAGCTACGTTATCGCTGAGTAACATAGGCTATATACAACTCCAAGCTTCCTATTACAGTAAACAAAATTGTATAGTCGAAAGAATTGAAAAGAAAACATGCGTAATAAAATAAATTTTTTAACTTATTTTGATCTACCCACATTCATACAATGAACAAGTAAGCCCATAAATTATAACGATTACAACGTAAACATATTTGCGTTTTGTTAGCAAGGATCATAGACAAACAGAAAGACAAGCACTGTAACATAGTAAAACATATAAATGTTACCTGTAGCAGCGGCCGCCTCAGCGCCCTCCTCGTTAACCTCAATGAAAGCTTTTTGCACTGCTTTCGACACGTATAACTTTTCATCGGTATTCAATACTTTTGTAAGGCCCGAGTTAGTACTGTCAAAGATAGCTTTAATACCGAGCTGTAAAAAAATATTATTTTTGCTTATAAATGCAAGCTATAAAATTCCGATTATTTTATCTTTTTGTCATCGTTTATTAACAAATCTTAAAATTTAATGTTGACATTATCTAAGTTATCTTTAAAATTAATTAATGTAATTCCAAGTAACGATATTTACAGTTATTATGAAAATAAAAAAGTGACATAGTTCTAGTAAGTTTGACATAAAAAATATTTCATAGAAGTATCAATACATGTTAATAATAATAATTTCCATAATCACCAACACAGTGGTGACAAATGACAATATATCTAGAGTGTTGGTTGACTATGAGTAATAATTAGGGTTGCCACCATATCAGGTTTGACCTGAATTCTTAAGTTTATATGCATAGTACCTTGACTACGTGTTTCACATTGTTATCAAGAAAAAAGTGATTGTGGGAAAACAATATACATATACATTTTTTTTTCGCCCACTATGGATCAAGTGTGGAAGACTTTAACCGACCTCCCAAAAAAAAGGTTATAATTCTTTTTGTTGTTTAAGGCAAAAGTTAAGAAGCCAATGATCATCGTTTTCATGTAAATTGACAACCCTAAATGTCATTGTATTATATTGAACGAATGATGTTAACGACTTCTTATCAAGTGGGCGTAACAGGTTTAATATTAAAAAATATCAATTACATTGAAGTTATTAAGTTACACGATTATAAAATAAGTGTAAGGAAATACTAGAAAAATGCTTAAAGACTAAGGCCCTGTCCCATAAAATTGTAAATTGTGTGATAACAATCCAACAAGCAAAATATGTAATGGAAATATGGGACTTTGTTCCCTCATCTGTCTGTGACGTCACTTCTAAACTATCTAAGGGTCTATCAGCCAGTGGCGGGACAGCCCCTTAAATTGTGAATAATCCTTATCACCTATATATTACCTTTGGTAGTAAATCGCAGAGATCGATTTCAGTTTCTATCTTGAACTTGGGTATGGTTACTTGCACCTTAGTGTCGAACATTTTATCAACTTCTCCCATTAGATCGTAGCCGTCAGCCAGTTTCTGTAGAACACCGTCCAGCCCATCGATTTCATTAGGCAGCACAATCAGCATGCTCGCTTTCTCACCCACGTAATGCATTTTCAATAACTAAAATCAAAAAGCCTTTCTATGAGTAATGAAAAATATTTTTTAAGTTTTTTAAGTCGCGTTAATATGTCACATTATATAGAGCGTGCCCACACCTAAAACTAAACTATCGCACAACTATTTAGTCTCGGGTTGGCTCTGTGAGCTGATATGGAGGTGTACACACTACTTTACAGATACAGATACAGATTTTTAGTTGTACAACTAAACAATTGAATTTTCCGCGAAACAATCGACAATCAACACACACACAAAGGCACAACTGCTTTGTGATATTTTAGTCATAGGTGTGCCGCACGCTCTAAGAATGCAATATTTGATTTCACGCAAAAACTGTATTGACCAAAGAATACGTAATTTTGAAAATTTAAAAATGTTTTCGTTTGTTATAACAAGCCCCTCTGAATTATCGGTTGGCGGTTAGTCATTTCATAAAGTTCCACTAATTGTCACGTAGTTGATATTATCATTGGAATATACATAGAGGTAAAAACATATTCTACAATTTGTGGTAAATAATAAAGGTGTATAGACATTTTAGTATATGGCCATTAAATAAACTTGTAGGCATTATGACTAACTATTCAAAACACAGTTACAGAGATTTTTTTTATAACATAAAGTGGCAAACGAGGAAGCGGCCACCTGAATCCGCCAAAATGACGAAGCGACCGCTGCCCATAGACATCGGCAATTGCAGATGCGTTGCCTACCCTTATACGACGGAGGAGTATACGCACTTAAAGTGGATATTTCTCCTTCCTATGCATCTCCTCCATCGTCAAATCTACTTCCCCTTCCCATCCTCTTTTTATAAAAAAAGGGTAGTAAAGAGAAAGGTACTTAAATTAGGCCTCCGACACCACACTCATCAGACGAAACACGGCATTGGTTCCATTACACGCCTGTCGTCTGTGTGGTCGTGGGCGTGCCGGCCCATTCGTGCCAAGATGTTAAAGCGGGCACTACCATTGTTAAAAGAGATAATAATTACGTGCAAGTCGATGAGTATTTTTGTAATTATTTACCCAGCGATAAGCTAAACTAGATAAAAAGACTTGTAACTTTACTTACGATACATAATTACCAAGGAAAAACCTGACTTAATAAAAACATTTTAAAAATGACTCGCTACATTTTAAAGACGTTCGTAAGTAAACATAGTGCAAATCTGCACTATGTATAAATCAGAAACCAAAAAATATTATTTATGTAGACGTTAAATACGCAATATTTAGAGTTGACAAAAATCGATCCCCTTACAATTAACAAATCTTAGCGAGGTCAGTCTTACTAAATTACAATGGAACTATAAAAATAATCGTCCTATCTTTAACTACATTAGCTATTATAAACAATTAATTATAACTCATTGTATGGTGCCTAATAATGGCAATGGCTAGTTTTTAACAAAGGTATCTATATCCCGATACTTAGGGCCTGTCGCACCAAATTGTAAATTGTCTGACACAATCCAACGTAAAACATGTGATCGAAATATCGGATTTAGTTCCCTTTATCTGACGTCATTTTTAAGCTATCTGAGTGTCTATCAGCCGCTGGTGGGACAGGCCCTTAGAGTCCATAAAGGAATCTCTTAAATATAGTTAGTTAGAGATTTCATCTTTTAAACTCTAACTGGAGTTTCCAATTCAAATTAAAATCGTATTATGCCAGCTAAATATAAATCCATACATTTATTTTCTCAACACAACACTGCCATAGATAAATTGATTCAAGGTCGTCTGAACCAAATATTTAAATCGAGACTCGCGCACCCACATGCACTCATCTTTGTTTATTATTCTGCGAATACCAAGATATTTTCGTTTCAATAACAATTGCTGTATTGATTTCGTTACAAAATATGTTTTAAGGAAAATTCTACAATAAAATGTTAATTTTAAAGAAATATGTTTTTAATACCTGTGCTCCTAATTCTTGGCTCTCTCCATATGAGAAGTTATCTTCCAAGTACATCATTGGTACCATCACAGTTTTCTCCGTGTCCACATTGAATGGTTGATCCAATGTATTAGCGGGGTCAAATTGTTTCTTCCATGTACCCTGAAATTAAATATCCAATAAGTTCATTCACATATACATGTGGCAGAAATGCCAATGTTAAGATGGATGTGTGGGGTAATACGAATGGCTAAGAAAGTAAATGAGTATATTAGAGGAAGTTTCATAACAGCCCCAGTGGTTGAGAAGGTGAGGAGTAAAGGTTAGCATTGGCATGTTATGCGGAGGAGTGAATTGCATGTTACAAGAAGAAAGTCAGTTATGAGTGTGGAGGCACACCGGTAGAGGTAGACCTAGAAAGAGATGGATGGAATGCGTTCAAGGTGAGGTGATCAAGAAGGGAGTGATGACCGAGATGACGTATGATAGAGTTATGTGGAGGATAAAAACCTGTTGCGCCGACCCTACGGGAGTAAGATAAGGAGGAAAATAAAGAAGTTCATTCACATATCATCATTGAGAACTACTATTATTCATTGAAAAAGACATTTGTTGGCAGTGATTTATTAAATTTAATAAATATAGCTTATGTTACTCAGATAGCATAGAATTTGAATTGTGAAAGATATTTGAAATCGGCCTAGTAGTTTTTGAGTTATTCCAAAACATGTAAAAACACAGATCTTTTATCTATAATATAAGTATAGATTAGTTTTTGCCCACAACTTCATGTCAGCAAAATTAAGAAAAAGGTGTAAAACATCTATGTGGAAACTATGTCCTGACAATGCCAATTTGATATGATGTGTTGAACCATTACAACTCTGTAGTTACTAAGTAATCATTAGTTTACTAAGTAACTCTACTTAGTAAACTAAGCATAGATTAGCTAATCCATGAGCTATGTGTTCTCCCAGAATGTGTCCTACATCTATACCAAATTTCAATAAAATCTGTTTAGTCATTCTGGAGACACATAGTAACAAACATCCTAGATGGATGCAACTTTCGCACTTATAACATGAATAAGTATAGTAGAGGCAGTATAGAAGTAGTAAGTATTTTACTCGCCTAAATTACTAAAGAAACAATATAAAAAAAGTATCACCTTAAAATACAGGGCATTAACAAGCACAAGCCGACTGTCGCTGTTCAAACTGTCACTTGAAAGGAGATTTTTAATTTTCTCATTTGTTTTACTCTCAACCTGAAAAAAAAAACCTTTATAATTTCTTATAAACAAACTCATCTAGCTTTTAGAGCGGGACTGAACATACTATGATGAGATAGCTACAGTACAAGAAGGATCATGTAATATTATGTATTTACTCTGTATATTATGCATGTAATTAATAAAATAACAGTAATTTCATCATGATTTGCAACTATTAAGGCTACAAACTCTAACAAACTAAATCTAAACTTTTACATTTACAATATTAGTAAGAAGTAAGGCAATTTAAGTTCCCAGAAACTAATGGACAAGTAATGCATGTGACTGTAAACTATAAGGAAATATTCACAAAAGTCACTATAACGTAAGTTAATTTTCTTTAAATAATGATTCAATATCAGAATACATAGAAAATGTACATTAATTTTAATTTATAAGTAAGGATTATGTCATTTAGAGATAATACAGTAGACATATTTAAATATTTAGTAATATATTTATCTAAAGATATTTTTAAACAGATAAAATATGATATGAATTGGATGTTGATGGTTTATTACTATCATATGAATATCACAATTCCCAACTGTTTCATTTAAATTGCTTTAAAAACCAAAATCTGTATTAAATAATGATTATTGAGTAAAAAATTTTAAACCAAAAAAAGAGATGGTGGTATTTCTGCCACGATCAGAAAGAAATTTGTAAAAATGACTTATTTTAAAACTATGAAAACTAAAACTTAATGTGTCTGGAGCCAGCACCTTGATACATTAAAATGTTTATTTTTAAAATATACATATATGAAAATATTCATCATATTGTTTCTATGCTGTTACATACAAGATAGCATATTTTTTATTTACCCATTTATTGATGAGTTCAGCCGCAGCTGCCCCATTACTGAAGTCAACCTTTTCAAAGGCAGCATCAAACACTTTAACCGCATCTTGTTTCAGTTGTTCATTCAGATCATAATCTCCATCCATTAAGTACACTTTGTTAGCTACATTTAGTGTCACACCTTTCACTGATCTCAAATTCGATGAAACAGCCGCAAAAGAAGAACGAACCTACAACAAAAATGAAATTTAGTTTTACATTATTTAACTAGTCATATTTGGATATTAAGATGTAATGTGTAAATGAAATTCTCACAGTAAAGAATTAAAATAATCTTCGTTTTCTTGTTCATCAATATATATTTACAGAGATATATATCCATTATTTCTCTGCATAACAATAAAACTAACTAAACCAGTGTTATGAAATATATTATATTTTCCAAGTAAATATGTAATACTCACAGCATCATCATTGGCAATCCCCAGGGAGGTTAACAATTCTTCATGAGCATTATCTGTTGTGCCCAAAGTGAGAAGAGCTAACACATATTCTGCTGACAATGGAGAGGAAACAACACTTGAACTCTTATCCAGTTCCTATAAGAAAATGTTGATTTATATTGTACTTATCTTTGGTAAACAAATAATATGTAAAAAACATTAAAAAAACTTACATTGCAAAACCTCGCCGAGAATTTTGCGATAGCGGAAGTCACAGCCTTGTCACTCATATTGTCAGATGAAGAAAACACAATTAAGTCTGTTAAAATTAGTAGAACTGAAAAATAAAAGAACATTTAACAGACGTCTGGTCTTCAGTAAACACTCGCCGATAATGCAAATAATGTACGCTGCCCGCACTTTTTTATCTTTAGGAATGATATCATCGCAACTTCGAAACATTTTACACTGAATTAGTCACCACAGCTTACCTATGCTTAGAATAATAAATATTATGCGATACAAAACACTCTGCCTGGCTTTCCTTCGTATTTGTTACATTAAATCCTTCGCATTAGCAGAACATAAACTTACCTATGTTAATAAACGTCCGCATCGACAATAATAAAATGTTACGTGTGTGCTATAGTGAACAACTAATGATTAATTTTCCGAATTCCATTTATAGATAAGAAAAGACGGTCAAAGCTTGGTATTTCGAAATGTAAATCGCTGTACTTATCGGCCTTATCAAAATCAATGAAATTTCGTCAATAAATCAAGTGTAGTGATTCACTTGAATAAAACATGTTATTGTTTCGTGTGGGTTTCTATTGCCGGAATACAAGAACACGATCGTATTGTTGTCTCTTTTCTTTTTTTTAAGACAACGAGAGCTATGACAATATTGTTTTAGTACTTGTAGGTAATTTGTTTCTCTATGTAGTGTAAACCGTGAAATGAATGCACTTGGTCTTGCTTATAATCTAACTTCTGTTTTTCGTTATTTTGTTATTATAATTGTTGTAAAGAGATGTATGACAATTGTCAAAACAGTTTATGGTCTATGGTGTTTGACTATGATTTTGACAGTGACAGGTTGTTGAAAGATTTCATTGCTGCCAGGTAGATTGTCTCAGTTTACCATAAAATATTTTTTCGCTAAAAAATGTTATATTGTACCACAAGGATATTGTGACTTTTGACTGTGCACTTTTTGACATTGACAGGATGGCGCCTCTTAGCGTTTAGGGTTACCAGTAACATCTATAAAGGTCAACGTTTCTATAGCTATTTTTAAATTTTTTGTATTCGAATAGAATTCACATACTCCCAGTATGTGAGTAAAAAATCTTCGAATACCTCCGAATCTATCGTCAAAACCCGTAAAATTAATGTTTTAATTATCAAAAGTAAAGTGACATATTATACTGACGATACCCAATTAAACCGCTTATCTCCTCCAGAATCATCCTTTTTATAATTAAGAGAGCGCGAAGTATATTTAGTATTTACCATCCAAATAAGGACAAAATACCTGCCAGATAGGGGGAGTGCTCAAATTCGATGTCTGGGATATATTTGTTTATCGACAAACGTGTTAACGAAAATCGAATTAAACTGATCCTTATGTTGATTGATTTTTCTGTAATGCTGGCCACTGTAGTCATTAAAACGATTATAGTTCAACATAAAGAAAATTATTCTGTATAAAAATCTGTCATTTTCTCGGACCAACAGTTTCTAAAAAACTTGCAAAAATTCCGATTGATAGAAATGTAACATAGGTAATTGCATTTTTTAATAAAAATAAAATAAAACAAAAAAAGACAAAATGAATATTCGTGCATTAAAAATGAAAAACATTGTTGGAATAAGAAATTACAGGCTATGTAGCCCGCCGAGACCGCCAGGTGAGTGCGGCTGTAACCCGCAAGTGCCAAGCTACCAAACCATTATGCCACCGCCGTCCACATGTCGGGTGACGGATATACCTCCTAATCCCTGCGCGCCTCGGTACCACTACGGCAAAGGAACGTGGCGGAGATATAAATACATGGTATTTTTCATTGGATTTCCTCTCATATTAATTCAAACTTTACATGCTTTCGGCCATAAATCCCCTATGAAGGAAAGCTGTCGAGATTACGACTTCATGCGCAAACGCATTAGAAGATATCCGTGGGGAGACGGACGTGCCACTTTGTTCCACAACGACCGCGTAAACCATCTACCTGGAGAATGCGAACCGCCCCCGCTGGACTGCGACTGATATAACTTTGTCTTTGCAAATTCGGTAATCCGCCACGTGTATATGAAGACAGTTGAATTTTACGATACAAAATTCGACAAAGGAACATTTATTTTTTGTTTACGCCTACGTCAGGTGTCAGAATGAAAGATATATAAATAGCGATTGTCCCCACATTCATGCGCAGTGATTAAAGTTGGGAAAGGGCATGCGGCTATGGACCGCCAGGGCGGGCGGCGAAGACGGCGACGGAGGCGGGGGTGGATCGATAGGGAAGCTGACGTCAGTGAGGGCCCGCGCGCCATTGGCCCCGCCGGCACTACCGAGCGAGCGTCCGTGCGGAGTGGCGCCGCGGGCACAGCACCGCAGCACGCGGCGGCCGCGCACCGCCGCGACCCTCCGGCCCCGCGGCCCGCGCCATGGCCGACATGCCGGACCTCTCGCACCTCACGCCCGAGGAGCGCGCCATCATCGAGGGCGTCATGATGCGCCAGAGGCAGGAGGAGCAGCGCGAACACGAGATTATGAGGTGCGCCCCACGACCCACGCCCGCTAGCCCACCCCGCCCGATCCCACCCTTTCGTGTCTTGTCCGCTGCCTCATCTACCACATGTGAGTGCCGTGACCCCATTTTGTTAATATAAAATGGTTACCTTGAATAGTAGAACTAGAATTAAATGTACAAAGCTAAATTTTCAACAGAGCGTTTTATCTTCTGCAGTTATATCATGATTATATATCTAGCGTAGAATCGTGTATATTTAGAAAATACACTGTAACAAAGGAAATAAAATGCGAGATGCATTTTTCGTTGTACATTTTAGGCGTAAAGTACTGAAACCCCGACCCCGTAAAAACATTCTTCGTTCGATCACGGAATAGATAGAGAGCGGCGCATCGATATCAAATAGAGTGCAATAATTTAATTAATTAGACAAAGTTTGATTGTTATTACATACTCCTACTTCTGTTAGGTAATATGAAATTACCAATATTATTATAAAAATTGGTAATGGTTTTATTTACTAAAAGCTGATTTTTTTTAAATAACTTTTTGCTAAATGTAGGTACACAAAATTTGCTTACTGACATTTCTTCTATTATTCTGTATTTTATCGTAAATGTTTTATTAATATGTTTGACAATTCTATTCTATTAAAGTGAGCTATTTTTCATGGTACAGTAAGTGATAAGGTATGGCTTATGTCCACGATTTGTTTTTTGTGATAGAAAACGCTGAGTGTACTTGGTTGATTTGATGTAATTTTTACAGACAAAATTTTAGACAAAAAGAAATAACATATTCGCATACAGTAAAATAATGTAGAGATCTAAAATTTTTAATGTATCCTTGCATTTGCGTTGATCGTTTTTTTACATTTAGATATGGTATGTACAGTCACTTTCTAGGAGGTATACTTTTCCCAAAGGTAAATAGTCTATAAAGACTATTTTATCAAAAAATAATTTCGAAAACCTAACTTTCCTAATGTCACCGAAGAATGGAACGAAACTCTGTTATTATTTCTTATCGATATGAGTTTCTCATTATCTGTTTTTATCGTAAATGCTTTTTCGTGTTCCCCAACTAACCTGCAAGCGCTTTATCAAAACTTAAATCAACGAAACAAAATATTAACTGTTTGGAGTTATTTTATTTGTAGTTTTTGGTAGAATTTGAGCGAAGCTTGCCAGTCAATGATTGTAAATTAATGTAATTTAATTAACGGACATAATTAAGACTGTAAATAGATGCTCATCTTCATAACCGAAACTATAATAAAAAAAACCTTTACGTTCAAATTAAGAATGTACCGAACTGTAGAATAGATAAAATCAATGCTTTTATTTTTCACTTTGTATTTACGGTCCTTCTCTCGTACGATCAGAAGTTAAAGAATAAAATCCTATTGAATACATTATGTAACTGTCTTTTTTATATATTTTATATATTAAAATACTTTTCAAAATGTTAAATCTTAAGTATTTGTTATTTCTGATTTTTATTCCTATAAGACTGTTTTATGATTTTTATGTATTAATGGAAAATAAAAATGCATGTTTTGCATTTTAAAAATCTGTTTTCTTTTTCATTAACAAACTTTATATTTCAATGATATCTTGGCGATATTAGGTAACATGTATAGATAAGGTCCTTCGGGTGAAACCTAAGTCTTTGAAATGTCTTTTTTTGTGTAGCGCTCGTTCCGAACACAAAATTGCATTGTCAACGTGAGTTATCTATTTGGTCATTACAGGAATAACGACTACAAATCGCCTTAGGCCAACTTTTTACGATTTAATTTCTTATTTTAAAGTGCTTCTCGTACTAGCGGAAGTTGTCGGTAACTTTGTCAAACACGTTCACCTGTTCGCACAATTTCCTTAAAAAGCCGTACAAAGTTTACTTTACGAATTTATACATATGATGTATTTTTTAAAGATGCAAAATCTGTTAAAAAAAATCAGATACCTACAAAAAGAGACACGAGTCAGCGATAAATTTGAAGATTGATACGATAGCATCGATAATTGGGAGTTCGTGCTCAATGGGAATAGAAGAGATTGCTTCCACAGATAACAGCATTGTAAGTGGGCGAGACATGGCGTCATTATCTAGTACATTCGTATAATTATGAAAACAACAGAAAAAAACCTAATAAATCTAATGATTTAACATTAAACGTTAATTATTTTTACTCCAGCGTTTAGCTTAATCTTACCTATATTATTATAAGTATAATAAAGCGTACACACACACTTTGTTGCCTAAGATGTCAGCAATTACGGCATATTTTTTAATAATTCTTTTTTTTAATAAAGAGCCCTACACTTACGTTTAGGCTATATGTTTTCACGCCATTAAACTTAGGGGGTAGGTAAATATTTTGGATAAAAACCCTAATGTGGAAAAGAGACCATAAGTTGCTGCCAACATCAAGAAAGCGAGGTTGTCAGCGTCATGTCATTTTGACATTTGCAATTGATAATTTGACACATGTAAACAATAAAATAAAATAAAATTTTAAGTCGCAGGGGAACAGCTAGTAAATGTTATAAATGCGAAAGTTTGCATGTTTATATAGTTATCTCAAAGAGACAGATGCAGTCTTATCCTTATTGACTTACAGTGTACAATTAAACCCGCTTGGGTACAGTCTGTTGTTTCTTCGAAACCATTTTTTATTCTTTGCATTAACAAAATTCAGTCAGAAATACATTAAAAATTATTTCAGTTTAAGTAAATGAAATTGCTGCAGCAATTATAGAGGCGGGAAATTTTTACATTGTTCCACTTTCTTGTTATTCAAGTTAAAATCTTTTGTCTGGATCATGTTTACTGTAAACCTAGAAAACATAGCTAAAACATGACATTTTACATCTGATGTAATATAAAAATAGCGTGTCCGCATTATATAAATGCTATAAACACATTAGTTAAAAACTGCATTGTACAAATGCACAATACGACTTACGATTTATTCAGGTAGAGAATTCCTGCAAAGAATATGATGAAAACTAACAGTTTTTGAGTTACCTACAATGGTCTTAGATTTTGTGGAAATCTTAGTATTTTGAATTCATTGTATATTTATTTTTCTATTTCTGACTCTTTAGGAGGCGGAAGAGGCAACTGCTCTTCTGAAGCCGATATCACCAGTTACATATATTTTTTTAAAATGAAAGACTTACAAATTAATGTATGTCATTCCAGCCACGTATTCTCCGAGATAGTAGAGAATCTATAGGGACTTACGATCGATTTAGAAAGCCGCCTGCCATTTCTGAAAACGCGCCTTAATATTTAAAGATTTCTATGATGTATTTGCGTTTATAACGTGAAACCAATTTTTGAAGGGACTTTTGAGGATAGCTTTTGTGTTTATGTAGGAATGTTATACGCTGCTTTTTTAATTCCACGTCGATGAAGTCGGGAGCAACATCCAGTGCTATCTAACTAATATTATAAATGCGAAAGTTTAGATGGATGGATGGATGGATGGATGTTTTTTAGAGTTTGTAGCCTTAATGTCCGAACGGATCTGGATGAGATTTGGCAAAGATGTAGAGCAGAGTATGGAAAAACACACAGGCTACTTACTTTTTTTTTAATACCACGCGGACGGAGTCGCAGGCCAAAGCTAGTACTGTATAAATTTGTCACATAAGTTATATTTCTGTGGAGAAAAATAGGTCAATATTAATTTAACTTTAATGAAATTGCAGAAGATTGAATGAAAATCTTGACCTATTAAAACTATAAAAAGATATGCCTACATTTTGTACTCAAATCTACTTTAATAAAATCTACATTTCCTTAATTATCTTGACATTATTTTTGACTATACACAGTCTATAATTAACATAGAATTGTGATACGCGCACAATAGGAACAAAAGGGTTATTCTCTGAAGTACATGGTTAAACGAGAAGCGTCTGAATTATACAAAAGAAATCTCAAGCCGTTTAATTAAGCCTACTGTTAATCAGACGGGTTTCACGGGAGATAGAATTGTAGTATACTTGCTGCTCGAGGTGGGTAGTCATTGCCGTTTGCCGTCGTTACGTTCGGAAAACTGATAACAGTCAATTCGATTAAGTTATATTATCTCATTTATTTCTACCACTAATTTATAATTCGCGACTATCTTGATTATTGTAATATTGGCAACAAACGATGGATCTGCACTTAGCTAACCGTCGAGTTTCAATGGCTTAAAACATTTTAAAAAACATATTGTAGTCT